CCCACCCCACCCACCCCCAACGCATTAACATGCAGGCCAGCAAAAGTGAGTTGTAAAATAATAAATATTTTGCAAGTTTATATTTATTTTTACAAGGAAATGTTTGCTGCAGTTTAATTTTCGCCTTTTTGCCCTCAATAATGAATATAAGTTAACAGCATAATAATCATAGTAATTAATGTGAAGGGTGATATTAACACAGAGCTAAAATTGGTTACATGAGTGAAGGGCGAAAGTTTGACTGGGCGAAAATTTCCCAATATACAGTATTTAATAACACAGTTTGAAATACATCTACCTACAGCATTTTAATTTTTCCAGGATCAATTTTTTTTCAGATAAATATAGTGACAATAAAACTTCTGCATGAGCAATGTTTGACTATAATTTTTTCAATAAAAAAAATAATTTCAAAACTAAGAATATTTGCAACCTAGTTAAGAAAAGCATTATGACCCACTTTTCAATTTCCTGTTCCCTCAGTGCCCATTCTTTCCTTTCCATCTCGTCCATCATTCGACGACGTTTGTCGAGTTGTGATACGTCGTTCAGAGGTGGTAGAGTTGCCTCCCATGCTCGCTTAGCTCGTGCACGCTCGATCATTTCAACTTCTGCCAAACCTGCTGGTAATCCTCGCCCTGAAATTAACGGTAATCAATCACTCAAAACTTGCTTATGTCACAGTGACAGGACTTTTTGAAGGGCTATTTTGGCGCTGAAATTTGGTTCCATTCACATTTGAAAATATTTAACTTTAGAAATGATCTTAAATATAGACAAAGAGTTACCCAGTGTTGCATGTTGATTTTTCATTGACATAATCTGATTTGTTCCTAATTGACAGTTAATATCTCAATATTTTTTCTCCAAATATCTGTCAGACAACTTTTCTTAATTTACCAAGAGAAAACATCCTGAATGGTGAACTTTCTAATCATTAGTTATTGACTCAGTTTAGCATGAATTTCCCTGTAGTAGACAATCTTACCGAAGGAGAGTGTAGCCAGGGTGAGGAGTTCTGGGGCCGAACCTGGCCTGACAACATACTCGGGAGTGTAGGGGTCTGTCTGGGCCTCAGAGTCCCGGTAGTCTGTCTGGACCTCAACAGTCCTGGTGAGGGGTGTTGGGGGCCTTTCTACCAGTAGCTGATCTGGACCGGCCAGGGGGTCTTGTCTGTTCAATCAAAACAGTTGTTTGTTTCATATATACATGTTATTATACTTCCTGGTATTAATAAGCTAAAAGGTGATCAAGGTTTTATATTTGAAAACTTATTTGCAAAATATAAAGGAACATGAAGAAATTGGATGTGGATGCTCCCCTGGCAAATGGGAAATATTTCTTCAAACAATTATAAGATTACCAAAGACTTAAAGATTCTGGGCTCTTGAAGCCAACACCATCAGGCTGATTTTATTTTCATGGAAATCAAACTTTGATAAAATAGTTCATATTCACAATTTGTACATGTTAAATTCCATTTCTGGAGAATTATACAGCACTCAAATTTGAACTGGTCTAAATATCCTTCAAAACCATGTAGTCAAATTTATACAGCAGTTATTTCTACTGTCTTACCTTGCAGTAGCCAGCATAACCTCGGGAGGAATCTGCTGTAGGAACGGAATCATTGGTCTGAAATGTTTAAATATTATTTAATAATTTAATTAAAATTAAAAAAAATCACGAAATTAATGAAACAGTAAGGGAACCCTAAGTATCCATACCCACAGGTATAGAAATTGTTCTAGCTATAGTCAGGGAGGTTGGTTCAGGAGAACGTTATGCTATTACAAGTTAGCTAGAATTTCCTGAAACCATAAATGATAAAACTCAATCTGTTCTTGTAGACACACATGTATCTTTTAAATTGAAAATACATTGTTTGAGAAATATAATATCACTTATATTAAATAAAGATTAACTTGGGGCCAAGCAAATATACTGTGAACATTTTCTTGTGCAAGAATGTAAAATCAACAGGTGTGATTTAAAACCAACCAATATAACATATGAAACAGTTGAGGAAATGTTGCTGTAACAAAGAAATAACAAACCTCTTAAAGAATTTGTATCTATTTTTGCCGCCTACTTCTGCATTTGCAAAGTGCTTCGATGGGACAACAACTGATGGATCATAATTAAATCTGAAAATTAAAAAGCGAAAAGAAAAATACAAAAATGTGGTATATAAATATATAATGAAATCATATTTTGGAATTTTTACATGTAGTAAGTATCAGGAATGATTGTACGAACTTCAGCAAATTATTCTTGAATAATAATTACCAGTTCTTTGATCTATATATGCAATTTTGTGTTTTTCATTTTATCATTATTATAATGTTGCATTATGTATTGCTTAATGTCACAACATGAATACATTTTATGCAAACTGATAAACAGTGTTCAAAAAGTAGTTTATATTTTTTTTATAAGAAATCTTTTTTATTGTTGGAAAAAATAAATGGTGTCCGATAAAAAAGGAATTAGCTTTGATTGAAATAGACACATGTAACTGTTAATTTATGTTGGATATAAAACCTGCAATCTGCAATATCTATTATAAGAGATCTGTTTTTTTCCAATTTAATAACACCACAACCGGTTTGTAATGTCTTACGTACGTTGTGTAGCGGACCATGGCATCCCGCTGCTGTTCCCCGTAACCTCTCCATTGACGGGAAATAAATTTTGGGACAGGGTCAGTGACATCCAATCGCATTTGAAAGCGTGGATGATGCCGGAGCTCACTGAACATAGTGGTGTAATTCGGCACACGTTTCTACAAGCATAAATGAAATATTAATCTGTTGTGGCTTATATAAACAGTACTACATTCCTAGTCCCTTCTGTCTATTATCCAGCTTTACGCCAGTCATTGATTTTCTCAACAAATGGGGCAAGTGCAATACAAGATAAGATGAAGGCAGCAATTGAATATGAGAAGGAAAAAAAGTTACCTACTCGATTTCACAAATGCGTTTATTTTTTCATGTTTTTACTCTTTGGAATGCAAAACAATGGTATCCTGTTGGGAAATTTAATATCCAGGAAACAATCTTAAGATGTTCTCATCCCCTTCTCTTGGATTTACTACTATGTTGTTCGGTAGAATACAGTAGCCAAGTCAGTATTTAACAAGTCACCATAAGTGATAACTGAAAAGTGAGGATTTCACACCATATTTTTAAATAATTTAGTTGACATTCGAATACTGTTAATACAGCAGTGTATACTTACGACCCTATCCGTGCCGGTATGGGCTTTAAATGTAGCACGAGCATGATCCCTCTCGCTGGACACAACAAAGTGATTATCTGTAAAAAAAATGAACGTGAACGTCGTTTACATCGCACTGACTTTCTTTGATTAAAATGTCACAGGTTTACAAAGATGACACCATACGTGTGAAAAAACAGATCATAGCATTTACTATTACTTAAATACACATAATGACACTGTTTGTCTGTCGCTGTCATGCTACTTCAATATGTGATATTCATTCCTGCACTCTTTCCAAATTCCGTCAAGTAAGAAGTTTTCGAGCTACACTGTTTTTAGTGTTTATTGCCGATAAATTAGTTTTTACTTTATTTTACCTACCGTATAGATAATCGTGTGTCCTAGCGGCTTGCCGCTTGATAGTTTGTGTCTGTGTTGCCATTTTGATTCCTGTGTAAGGATCCTAAACACTGTATTTATGTTGTTTTTCTTCCCATACAACTTTAGGTTTGTGTCAGTCCTCCATTACTAAAAACAAGATGGCGTCTCCATTTACATTGTCGTCATGGTGATTGCGAGACGAAATTTCCATTAATATTCACTTACTGAGGTATTTAACACGAAGATTTATTTTCATTTTTAATTAAAACGCTAAATCGAAAATAGTTTTGATAATTTACGATGTAATATAAAAAAAACAGTGTTAAAATAATTATACCAAACTAAATTTTAAGCAAAATCCTGGTAAATATTTCCGGAAATGTTACAAATCACAAATTAGAAATAATATTGGCCAAATTTGCACCTACACCGATAAAGTAAAGGATAATGAAATAAAAAATGAATTAACTATTTTTTTCTAGCAATAATAACGAACTGTTCGAACTATGGTGTAAGGGGAGGTCACTCTTATCACCTATAATTTATTAAGCAACTGAATTCCCGCCAGCTTTCCAAATGTGAGACCAGACTCATAGTTCAGCAGTCCAATAAGCAGGTATGTCCAAGTGTTTGAATTTCATATTTTACCTTAGAAAATGTGGCTACATTATTTCGAATTGTTAATAGACTGACAGAAATGTACATAGGCCAGCTGACTGGTTTGACACAGCATGGTGATGATCAGAGGTGGCCGGGTATTAATATTAGTACTTAAGGTGGGTAGGCCTTACAACTGCTATGAAATTTAGCTGATGATGACATTATCGTTAAAGTTAATTAATCATCGTTAGTGGGAAAATCTGCACTTTGGTCTATATTTTAGTTTGAACATTAAAAATCAATATACATAGCCAATAGCCATAGGCATTGCTTGCATCATGTGGCATGGTATTAAAGTTGAAACAATTTTCATTCATATTCAGCTCTAGCTCACAGATTATTGCATTGTTAAATTGGTTTGCTATTGAATGTTAACAGACAAATGCCTGATGAGAAAACAAGTTCAGGTGATGAGGGATGGGGGGCAAGATTGATCATAACGGGTTGTGTGTGGTAAAAAATGGGTGGTGTAGGTGGTTGGGGAGGGCCGGGGGAGGGGGAGGGATAATGAGGTTGAGGGCTGTTGGAGGGATGGGTTGTGTGTTCCTAGTGGTTAAATCTATCCACCAAACTTTTTACAGAAATATAATTTTAACAGTTAACAATATGGAGTATAAATCGACTTGAAAAGAATTGCATTGTACATATGTGTGCTATTTATTTTGAATTGAACATAAAAATTGGCATTGAACCTGCTTTCTGGCAGATTAATTATGTAACATACCAAATTATAATGACCCTGAGCCCAAAATCTTGTAACACATCTTAAAATTCTGCAGGGGTTAAGGTAGCTTTTGAATTCATAAGATCAGAACATTTTAGCACCGTTTTTATGTAATGGTAGGGCGAAAACATTATTCTGTCTTTGATATTTTGTCCACCATGGTTGTTCGGTTCAAGTCTAGGGGAATCTAGGTTTTCTTCCCTGTTTTGAGTGTTTTCTTTGAAGGTGATATTGAAGAGACCAAAATTGATCTGCGGCCCCCATTGCAACATTTGGGATTTTTTCCCCCCTATCATTCCTGTCTTCTTCCTTTTCCATCTATTTTATTTTTCAGGTGGTGTTTCCCTAGGCTCTCGTCATCATATGACCCCGGCTGTTGAGAGGATGTTAAACTCCAAGCAAATAAACTATAGGAAACAAATTGAACGTTGAATTACAGGATAAGGCCAAAAAAAGTTTTGTGTGTTTCCTGTTTCTACAAGATATTGTATTGACAGACAAGGCCATAGTACCAGTGGTCTGGCTTGAAGTACATGTAGGGAGGTGGGCTTATTACAGGACAATTAGATAGCATTTGTAGGCATTTCTGTTTAACTGTTCTAGATATGTATTATCAGGCATGGGCTTACTGCTGAATAAGTAAGATTGATTCCAAATCTTCTCAAATTGTTTCATAAATCCTGAATGAAATGGAAACACAATTACTGTTCTATGTACATTAATACTGACAAATTAATTTATTATACAGAAAATAGGTCTTCAGTTCAAGGCAGACTTGGAATTATTGTCAAACTTGAGACCAGATGGTAACTCAGAGTAAGTAAATCATGGTACAGGTATTTTTGTTTTATTTCTCTGTGTAATATTTGTGTTTTGACAAAAAGAATGCATAAGATATCAGGCAGTTTAGTATATAGTCATTTGGGTTTGAGAATATTTTGAATGCAAATAAAAGAAAACAAATTATAAAATGTAAAATGTCATATTATTAAATATATTTGTTATCTTCTCCAGCTGAAGTATCACAACTGCGGTGAAGAAACCCCTGAATTTCAGTATGTTACACAGATAGTAAGTATTCAGTTCATAGTGACAACCATCTTTTCTAAAAGATGAAACTGCGAGTTGAAGTTTGTTGTCAGAATGATAACTCTTTAATACATATTTTGAGCTCATGCAGGGTCCAGTTGTTCAAAAGGTGTTTAGCTTAATCAGTGATTAGCGCAAATTTTAATTTTTGTATATCTTTAAGACACAACCTCTGAGTTAGTTACAACTTTCCAGATATCAAATATTTAGTAGAGTAAATTTTCATGCACAATTGTGAGGTTTTACCTTGTATATCGACAAAATTATTAAAGGTTGAAAAAATGTCGTTAAGCTGTAATTAAGCTACTCACCCTTTGAACAACTGGCCCCAGGTGCTTGCGAGCTTAATTAGGTGATGGTACAGTTTCTGTGGTTATTTGTGGATAAAACAGCAGCTTTTCTTTTAATTTTCCAACTGGATCATAGGTTATAAAACAATAATATTTTACCCATGTCTTGTTGTAATAGAGGAATACCAGGGCCCGGTTGTTCAAAGCCATTGCTGAGCTAACGATGTCGTTAAACCATGGCCAGCGAGTTGTTAAGATTTAACGACTCGTTAAATAGTCGCTAACTTTAAACATTCTTTTACCCATGATTAAATACTTTTAAACAAGTCGTCAAATATGGCCGCCTTAGTATTAGTAATTGTGCCTCCTCAGAGGAAAAATAGAATTTATAGGCACCAGAAGATCCTGAATGGGGACTTCACTGATGAAGAGTTCAGGCAGCGGTACCGCTTTGGATGGCAGTCCATTTTGTTTGTGTCTGGCCTAATAATACAAGTCTTAACCAGAAGTTCCAGGAGAAATCATGATCCGTTGAGCAGCAGGTAGCCTGCAGCCTGAGGTTTCTTGCAAGTGGCAGCTTCCTGCAAGTTGTTGGAGATCGACACTACAGGTATTTAATTATATAAACATTAAAACTTGGATCTAAAACTTAAAAGTACTTAAAGTACTAATATTGTATATGTATTTTTGTATACTTTAATTTCTCTTTTTTAAATGGCTTTTATTTTTCATCAATACAGCAGTTCTCTCATCTGTTATTACTCTATACTGCATGTTTAACAAGTATAAGAATAAAACTGTATGTACCCAAGTGTTACAATACTTTTTTTATACCAACAGTGCTGTCAAAAACTGTCTTTGTAAACAAATTGCAATAACCAATTTACATTAATCATATCACTTAGATCTGTCAGTTAATTAGCACCTTTGACTGACGCAATGAACTTGAGGTTACACTCCTTTGTTTTAAAAGGAAGTGGCAAGTCACTTTAAGTGTAACAGTATTGACTATATACTTTCTTTGCTGTGGCCAGAAAAAAAGTCTCATTAAATAAAATCTATAAAAGTCTCAATTTGTTTTACTGTAAACAACTTACTTGTCATTTCATTGAAAGGATTGGACAAAAGCACAGTGTCTAGATCAGTCAGGGATGTGTGTGCAGCTCTGTGCCAGTTCAAAGACCATGTACTTAAGTGGCCTTCCCTGGAGGAAAGTCAACGAGGGAAGACAATTTTTTTTTGCCATATCTGGCTTTCCCTCGGTCATTGGGGCAGTGGATGGCACCCACATCAAATTGCAGGATGAGCCATCGTATGTAAACAGGAAAGGATATAAATGTGCAAGGTGTGTGTGATGCTGATGGTAAGTTATCATGTTGTACTCAGCGTTCCTAATTTTTGTTTGTCGCTTAGAACATTGATAAAAAATGACCTATATAACCTAAAGTCTGTTTCAAAAAGTCCATAACTCATCTCACAGACACAGTACTGTTGTCCAAACATAGTTTTTTGTTTATGAAAATAACAAAAAATAAGTAGTCTATAATTGCATTAGTATTGGAAATTGTACAGCTTAATTCATATTAAAAATAAATCAATTAAAAAAATAAAACATAAATGGTTTATTTTATTTTTCAGCTATAGCAATAACATTGGGTTTAAAAAAATCATGATTTCACATTTCAAGAAATAAATGACATTTTACCAAAGACTAAATCACTGTGGAATAATTTCTGTTAATTTTTAAATGGGACACATAAATCATAGGTATCAATATTAAAACTGTTGAACTGTTATATCTTGAATGATTAATTTATTCAAGTGTCACACACATTAACAACTGATATTATTGATTCAAAACAGCTAAAAAGCATTGAAAGAGAACAAATAGTTGTATCAGGTACAGAGTGTTAAAATCAAAATGAGTTATCTGTGACATCTGATTCAGAATATCCATGCAGTCCTACATGTAAACATGCTAATATGTAGCTGCATGTACAGAAAACTTGAGTACATATGTACCGGTAATTGAATCTATCAAATCACATTCAATTACAGGAACACTCTGATGTATAATGAAATAAAATAAATAAAAAACGTAACATTTTCAATTACCCTATTCCTGCACTTTTTTTTGGTATAATGGGGGTGTTTAAAAATCTGTGACTACATAATTCACATGTAAACCTCCTACAGGTATCCTTTTATGAACATTGTTTTATTCTGGCCCTATATTTGATGTAATTTTAATGTTTTGTGTTATGCAAAAGTGATGTGGATCCAGTGAAACAAATATTTGTTCCTTTCATCATAGCAATGATTAAATTCTATCCATGACTTCACTGATAAATAGTTTATGTAATGAATACAATTACTACCAAATATCATTCGTAGCATTTTAATCCTCTTCAATATTTCTTCTTTAATAGGCAAGTTCCTGAACATTAATGCTGCATGGCCTGGCTGTTCACATGATGCCCATGTCTTCAGAAACTCTCAGGTATTGGAGTTTATTATGTACAATACAAATTTATACAAAAGAAAAATAGTTGAAAATATATTTATTTCCCTTTAATATATAAACTCAATATATCTTTTATCGGGTTGATAAATCCAGGTATCGACCCCAGCCAAAGGATATAATTGATTAACAAACAACACAAACAGAGAAAACATTTTACATCTTTATTAAACAGTAATATCAATAACATTATTTACAGCATATTAAAAATGAGCAGCTCCCCCATAGACAAGAGGCCCAAGTGCCTTAGCGGTCACCTGAGTTATATTATAGGTACTGGTAGCTCAATTTCATTATTGAGATGAGATGTGGAAATCAAATTGTAAACAAAGTGAAATACGATACTTGTCATGTCACCACAGGATAAGAACTTTAAAAATTATTCAAATAAATTATTTTGCTATTGAGAAATATAATCTCTATTGTTATTTAGCCAATTTTCCTCTTTGGCCAGCCCCTGGGATAGGTCAGGATCTTAGTTTCTGATACTATTTGATTTCAATTTTATTATAATTATTCCAACCAAGTTTGATTTATTTCTTGCTGAAAATTGACAAAATATATAGTCAGAAGTGTTATTTCCCTATATAAACCAAGGAGAACAATGACCAAAGAGTAATATAACTATCAGTTTATATAATGCATTTCCATCCAAAAAAATATTTAAATCTTGTACCATCTGAGTGCAGAGTTTTTTTAAAATATCAGCCATTTTATACTTTTTGGGCCCCACCCCTTCAGCCCCTGGGGCAAGGACGGATCAAATTATTATCTATATACAGTGTACTGTAATCCCACTGGGAATTTTCAGTGGGGTCACCTTGCATAAATCTCACACGTGTAATCTTAAAAGTGGACTAAAATATAACTATAGGCAAAATATCAATGTTTGATTCCAAAGAATCTATTAAAAGATTTAAACATGTGACACTTGTGACCTTGAAAGTTAAACAAGGACTTTATATTTAACAAACTTGGTAGCCCTTCTTCCCATCATGTAACTGGCAAAATATCATCATCATAGGCCTTTTGGTTACTGACAAGAAGTTGTTTAAAGTAAACAATCAATGCCGGACGTATGCTGCAGGTGAACTAATTGATTTATTGATAACACTTTGACTATTCTCTCTGAAAGTAAAGCATGCTTTGTTTTTAGTTTGATATAAATCAAAGTACTGAAAGAACTGATACAATGCCGACATTGTCCAAATATGAAGATGGATTTTGGAAGTTACAGTTCAAATCACATTCAATCTATGTCAAGGTCATTCATTTAAACTATATTTAAACCCTTCATTCAGGCATGCTTATTGTCAAACATCTTGGACCTAGACCTCTTCCTTATTTGGGAGAGGTTGTTTAAGTATTTGCACATGTTTTACCATCGTGACCTTGAAAACTAATCAAGTTCACTTATTTTACTCAAATCTAAATCAAATATCAAGACCTAACCCTTAAAGAACTTGAAAACAAGCTTTTCAAAGTTTGTTAACCAAAAAAAGTGCATTTAAACTTTGACTCCTAATGACCTTTATTTGACAAAAAAAAAAAGTTTCATGAGAAAGAGTTTTGTATTAATGGTCTACATGAAATACATGAAAGAAAATGATGGCTTTAATGGTTACTTTAAGCTAGACACTGAGTGACATCAGAGAAGATGAATACTGATAGAAATTTGATTATGAATAACATTAAAGAAGTTGTTTTTATTTCAACAGATTTAAGTCATTCATTTATAAACAGTCACATAACAAATGTGAAGTACCCTAGTTGAACATGTTTTAAATTTGTTATCCAGTTTTTCATAAATAAACATGTAGAAGTGACATAATTCTGGTCAAAGTTCAGCCAATCAAAACTCCACAAAGTCATATATACCACTAGTGGTATACAGAAGTATTTATTCAGCCAGATAAAGTTAGCAATTTTATTTTAAATAAAGGTTTTGAATTTATATTTTATTTCTTCAGGTTTGCCTGCAACTTGAGCAGCACCAACATTGGGAGAATGGGGTCCTTTTAGGGGATTCTGCCGACCTTTCCTCCTAACCCCGTAGCTTAACCCCCAGAACGCTCAACAACAGCGTTACAACGTGGCTCACGCAAGGACAAGGAGCATGCACTATTGAAAGGACGTTTGGGAGATGGAAAAGATGCTTCCATGTCTTTCACTCAGAGGTGAGCTTATCTTCTATGATTACTTTTTTTCTGGTTTTGAGCAGTTTTATATTGATAAACCTATGACACTAATTACAAGGACATTATCTTGATTAAGTGAAAATGATTATCATAACCTTGAGAAAATTACACATGATGTGCAGTAGTGTTGGGTATTGTCTCAATGGACATGAGTTGGTCAATCTCACACCAGTAACCATCAAAGTGGATCAAGGGTAAATATATTAAAATGGGCTACATTAATTAAGGAACAAGACGAAATCGCCATCTTTGCTTTGTGATGTAATATTAAAAAGATTTTGTTTATACACTTGATCCCTGTGACCTTGAAAATTGGTGAAGATCATATACAGTATATCAAACTTGGTAGCCTTTCATCTCCGTACATATTGGCTCGATATCATCACTCTGGGTCTTTTGCTTGTTCAGAATTACCATAAGAATGGTTTCCTTTTGATACAGATTTGCATGAAACCTGAGAGGGTGGTGAAGGTGATTGTTGCCTGTGCGGTACTTAACAACATTACCATCACCTTGCAGGAGCCTGTAATGGATGAGGATATCAACCATATGCAAGCTGGGGATGATGTCTATGAAGGACCCCAGGTTGGCCGTACTGTCAGGGACCCCATATCTAGGACTTTTTTTAACTTCTAGTTATATGTCTGATATGTAAGGAAAAATTGGGGGCGCGTGGAGTGCCCCTTCTCCATGAAGGTGAAAGATAGTTAGGGGGCATGCGGAGTGCCCCTACTCCATGAAGGTGAAAGATAGTTAGGGGGCGCGAGGAGTGCCCCTACTCCATGTAGGTGAAAGATAGTTAAGGGGTGCCTGGAGTGCCCCTACTCCATGTAGGTGAAAGATAGTTAGGGGGCGCGCGGAGTGCCCCTACTCCATGTGGGTGAAAGATAGTTGGGGGGCGCGCGGAGTGCCCCTACTCCATGTAGATGAAAGAAAGTTAGGGGGCGTGCGGAGTGCGCCAACTTGATGTAGGTGAAACAACTAACCTTGAATTGCTTTCAAGTTTAGAGGGGACAAATGTGTTGAACAATCCAAACAACCTCTTCTTAAGAACTATAAGTCCAAGACTCCTGATACTTCAGCATGATAGGGCCAAATACAATCAAGTATAAATGACCATAATCCACTTTCAAGGTCACATGATAGACAACTTCCGATGACTAATTTTACGTGTACATATATATATATGTGGATAACAGTCAGGGAAATTTGATTCGTGACTTTGCTTGCTGGGTTACGTGCTATTATGTTAGGTCAAGTGAATGACCTTGACTTATGTTGAAGCTCAAAGATGTCAAATGTTTTAAACATTTCAGACAACTTCTACAAAACCACGAGGCTCTAAATCAGATCAGTTTAAATACTACATATATAATGTATTATTCAAGGTCTCAAGGATCAGATAAGTTTTTAAGATTTTTTTTAAATGTATTGCACACTGAGCCTTCAATTTTGCTATGACATATTCCAGGGGTGTAAAGAGCGAAAGTGAGCGTAACCCCTGGATATGGAGGATGGAGTGGAACCTTCTTGATTATAACTGATGCAGTGGTACCCTTAACCCTTTCGCCACTGTAGACCACAATTGACTCATCCAAATCAATGCATGGAAGAGTTTATTGAAGTTACATAGGGGTGAAAGGGTTAACTTTAAGTGATGTGCTGTATGCTTATATCAGACATAGTCATGCTCAGACTCCAGGCTTAAAGCCATCGGGCCTGTTTAAGGTAGCCCGGGCCAACCCGGGGTTAATAGTCATAACATTTATAAACATTTATTGTTTTAAATACATTCATTATTCACAAAAACAACAATAAAAACATACACTGAGTTCCCTTTTTGTGTTTTTCAATCATTGTCAACTTGTAAAAATCTTAAGTCATTTTTATTTTCTTTCTATGAAAAGTAGCAGGCTGATCTAGCCAGATATATATAGATGGATGTACTGAAAACATACATATTCAAGTGTACTCAAATTCTAGCTCACTGTTTTAATTACAAAAGATCAGCACATGACAAATGTGCACCTACAATATTTGCAAAAGACAAAAATAATAAGAATTTTTTAATAAGTGAAATCAAAATTAAGCACAATATTTTGGGTACAAAAACAGTTTAAATAAGATAACCACCAAATATGTTTGTTTGCAGTATTGTGCCTGTGTTGCTATTTATATGGATATTTAAATATTTTAACCCCAAGAATACGAGTATGCCATGGTTATCGAGCCCTGGGTTACACCTCCAACAAATGTCATCACAATGGGTTGGTTTGCTTATTCTCAGTCATTCACAAGGTTTTCTCATAATTATTAACCCTCGATGAGCTTTGTGTCTATCTGTTGTTCAATGTCCGTTTTCGGTCATCTGTTTACCCTGACCCATGAAATGAATTCACTCTGAACAAGGGCTAGCTACGCCCTTGAATGCTGGTCCATTTAGGACTTTGTACTGGAAGTAAAAAAAAATAAACTTGAAGTGTTCCAAAACATGCGTAGAAACAGAACAAATGGAACGGTGTTTATAAAACCATTTTATAAGATTCATTACAAATTTATAACTTTTGGCTCAAAAAGTTGCTGCTACTAGTATTTCATGTGAGTCGCCCCAGAATACATGTCGGCTACAAGTTTACGGCCAACGTCGGGGACTGATAGTCCGCCAGCAGTCAAAAACCTAACTGCATAAAATAATCACTAGTTCAGGCAATACGACGAATGGATGCACCCATTGAAGTATTTGCTCGTCTTAAGTTCTTCTGCTTCAGCTCTATAAACATAAACTTGTGTGGTTTTTGATACCCAAAAATATCAACCCCTATCCAAAAAGAAGCATTTGCGCGAATCGTACCAAGTCCTCTAACTCAGTATGACTCCCAAGTCTACTGTAGACGTCCCCAATCATTACTTGCTTTTTATTAAAGTTCAAGGGACCATATACAATTCTGTATTGGTATTTAAATGAAGGTAAGAAAATATCTCTGTGATATCCAAAATCAACGTAGGTGTTTTAGAATTAATAAAAACGTCCTTATTTGAGTTCATTGTCCTGTACTTTACTAGTGAATACACATTGAGCACAGTACGATGACTAAAATACGCAATCAACAAGGAGAAGCGCAAATAGAATCTTACGTGACGTTATCATCAGTCGTAACGGGGTCTGGCTACGTTGTATCTATTCCGTCTTTTCGTATTGCAGAGTTATCTGCTCTTGTGAGCAGGTATTGATTGTTACGTCATTGGTTTGTGATAGTAATGTCATCAATTTTTGAGAAAACGACGTAATTTTCTCACACACAAACCAATGACGTAACAATCAATACGGAATACGGTTTACTCTCAAAGTAGTGACTTTCAAAAACTAGTCATGGATTGATGTTTTATCGTAGCGCTTTTGTCTCCATCACATTCAACACAATTCATTACAACAGTGCAAGATAATCAATCAGAATTGATTGCTATAAACACTTATCTTTTTCGAGGCAGTTGGAAGAAAATGAACAGCAGTTTGGTAAATGTACAATTAGCATATACCCCGCCCCCCTCCTCTCAAAAAAAAGATATAAAACAATGGGAACTTAAACCTTAAACACGTGAATATTTTCCACTCCAGAACTATACGTGCCTTTCCGTTATAAACCTGCTGTTTAAGAGTAATTGAAAACAACCATATTGGCGTGTTGCCGCCTGTCAGAACTTCTACCCTTGAAAACACGACAAAAAACAAACTCTTCTGCCATTTTGCAAACCAAATGTGTAAACTAGATCATGAACCAAACGAAGCTACCAAGAACAAAATAAATACAATCTGTTTAATTTGTTTTGGACTTGAATATATATAATGTATCTATTTATGACGTATGAAGAATGATTCCGTTACAATTTATTCATAAATGTTTAAAAGATGCATTATAATCCTTCATTATGCATCCTTTTTTTAATGACCACCTCCGTGTAGAATACGTACGGCTTGTGATCAGAATTAGCAAACGCATACGCCTCTAATCTGCTGAAGTATTGATCAATAATCATCTGTTTTTCCTCTTCCGATCTGGAAAGGGAAAGCCCATCATACAGCGAGTGATGCAGCCAGGGGTAGATAGAAGCAACTATTGCACGGGAATACTCCAGCTTCTCCGTCTCGCCTGTCACATTTTGAAATCATAAACATAGAACTAATTAAGCATTTTTTCATTGATGATTATGCAGACATTTGGATAAAATATTAAAGAAGGAACGATATCTTGAAAACGAATAACAAGAGTTTCCAAAAAAACAAGCATATTATATTTCATCAAAATAATCTGTCATTGTTCAAACTGTCCTTTTTCTTTTTGGAGCAATCGGCTTTGCTTTCTTTTTTTCATTTCATTTTTGTTATGATTTGAACACTGTTGAATTAGCAATTTTCTGATCGCCAGAAGAAGAATGCTGCCTATCGCTTATTACATTACTCATCCATTTATCACTATATTGTTATACTAGGTAGCTACATTACTTATCCATTTGTCACTATATTGTTATACTAGTTAGCTACCTTACTCATCCATTTGTCACTATATTGTTATACTAGTTAGCTACATTACTTATCCATTTGTCACTATATTGTTATACTAGTTAGCACAAGATAGTTTTCTGTCAACAGAAACATGCAGTGATGTCTGCATAATTAGGGCATTTTATTCAAGGATGATAAAACGTAATCGTATCGTGTGTGACCTATATGAATACTTCATGACGTCAAAGCCAAACTCTTGAGATGTTACCTCCTTTACATTTTTGAACCATTACTTAGAACACACTGTCCAGCGAAAACGATACCGCTGTGCTTGTTTTCTAAGAATTCAAGATTGTATACAGCCACATAATAACTTAGTAAGTTAGCGCTACGTCATTCGAGGAGTAACAATCAAGTTTCTGACAAAAGAAATAAATATGTAATTTCCTGAGCCAAAATTAACGTTTCATTATGCAGTTGCCATATCCATTGAAATAGTTAACGTTATTTTATATTACTCACCTTTGTCGATAATATTAAAAGTCGGGTGTTTTAGAAAGTGTTTAAATGATTTCACAGACACTAGGTCCTGTCCGAGTTCCCCTACTTCCGGTAAATCACTGGTAAACGGCTCCTTAAAATCAGCTGGCGTTCTGAGATGGTGGCCGTGATAGTTTGTTGCAAGATATTCCTCCTGTGAATATATTTATATAATCAATATTTATCAATAACAATATACAGTCATGATATTGTTTATTTCGTTTTGTTATTGCAAATTATATGATTGGTTAAGAATTTTTGTTTATAATTCAAAACTACCCTCTGATATGCTTGGTCACATAGATAACGCGCATCTTTACCGGATATGGCATTCTTTTGTTGTTTAAATCGCCCTTTAAAAACAAAAAAGGAATTCGTTACCGGGAATGCACGATTTAAGACACATATTGACGCACATGTGTTAAATCATAAAGAACAAAATAATAAACTTACTAGAAGTACGAGGTAACTTAAGGCTGCACCTATTAAAAGTTTCAGTTTGTCGACGCAGAAATAAAAACAAAGAAAATAGCTCACTGTACTACATAGCTATTTAGTTTATGTATGTTTGTATTGATCTTAGGAAGGATAAACTAAAAAGAAAACTTGTATGCATGTTTTTTCATAACCTGGTGTTATACCGTCTTTTACGTTACGTATTTTCCTTTAAATTTACCAAAAAAAATTGTCTTCATTCCTTAATTAGGTGAACGATAATATCAAACTGTATTAGACCACAAACATTTGGACGAGCAATTACAGAATGAGATGTTAGTACCAACATATATGTGGAAGTAATAATTGATAAAATATTCATATTGAGCTCAGAAAACTGATGCAATGACGCAATTAACGGACACAAGCGTTTATTTTACAGTAAAATTGAATTATTGGAGAGAAAGAAAAAAAAAATCATATTAAAATCTACGATATGTATTTTACTTTTTCTGATAGAGAAACACATGGTTTTGACATCGTGTTTTGTTTTACTTTCTGGATATTTAACTCATTATTTAGATGTCGTCTCGAACTTGCTCACTGTTATTTTGACATATTTATGTTTTATTTCGATGATATCATGTTACACATCTATTATCTTCAGATCAAGAATTTTTTCAGGGGGTGTCACTATTCCGGATTTCCAGTTTATTTTGCGACAAATGCTGTTTGAACCATATGTCATGTTGCACAAAATTAAGTTAGATACTGGTCTAGGCTCTTTATTTTTTCTTGGGTCTATATCTAAATATTTCTTGATTTTCTTCTTTTATTGTTTATAAGTAAAATGCCCGACTGGAATGAATAATTAATCGATTAATTCAATTTTGGTAATTCATTTATTTCAATTTTGAATTGTCCTTCTTGCAAACGTAACACATGTGCCCGGTGGCTACTACGGACCATCGACCATACCGGTACAAAGTCTGCATCATGGTTCGCTGAACCATTTAATTGATGCTGGGGTGTGGTATCAATTAGTGTCAACACCGAGTTTAAACCTATTAGAGTGGAATGGGAGGGTGTGTGACTTAGACTGTGTAATACACAACTATAGAATCACCAGTCAAGAACAAAAAAACACCATTTTTTAATAGGATCAATTCACACAATAATTGCAGCATATATACGCGCACTGAAACAAATTAAGTGCAGGACAGGGGCGTGTCACGTGCTCTGGTGACCCCCCCCCCCCCCCCCGCCCTTGGATCCGCCTCTGATATTGATCACATCTCTGTAAGTGTCAACACGTGAGAAAACGACAAGACCAAAGGATATTTAAATATATTATTATTGCCTTCTAGAATCTAAGCTTTAAATCAAATAAAGAATGTTAATCTTATTAACTTCAACTTAAACAAGTGTGTATCAATAGTCATGTATCGTTTTCATTCATTGTTGCTAAATCAATAAATTCAGAAATAGGCTTCATCTTCAACAAAATAAGAACAATTTTAATGCAATGATGGCAAATGAACATTTTTATGATATTCACCACTTAAGTATATATGTTTGCTGTTATATTTTGGCACTTTAAGAACAAAAAAAAAATACTTTCATCAATCTGTGAAAAGTAGTACCGATACATGACAGCATTTCTTTTGATGTATATTTGTAAGTTTTTAAATACAAATAAAAAATAAACAAAAGGGGGAAAAGGCAAAGTTAAATCAAATAATAAATATATAACACTTGTAAATAAGTATATTTATGTGTAACCACAAACCTGGGTTATTACACCTTCTCTTGCCATGTCAGACAAGAAACTAAACAGAAGTCTGGTTCCGTTTTCTACGTGTGACGCATCGTTGTTTTCCTCGTCGGATGACAAATTCATGGTAACAATAAAACCACCTGAAACATTGACATAATTTTTTAAAACTTTAAAGCTTGAATTGATTAAAATAATATCCATAGGCAATATGAATACAATTAGGAATCGTGTATATTTCTCGTACTTTATGTTTTGATTTCATATCCATATTGCCTGGAATTTTACTTAAACACTGTCAATGTGTTATCATCGATATAAGTACATGTTAAATGTATAGCAAATGCAATCTGCTCAAATAGTTTCACGGTGGGCGGTTCCTTTGACTGATTAAACATAAAAACAATTATTTGAAAACTGCGATGGTTTCATGAAGAAATACAAACGCGCTGAATGTTTGGAAGCCACTAGGCAGTAGGCCAGTACCTTTATACTATACAAAAACATCACGATTGGTTATTACACAAATCTTCCCTAAACTAAAACGTTACCCAGTTTTAAATGCCACGACAAGTGTTACCTGAAAATATAAAGTTGTGCGTATAACACATGTTTGATTTTGTTTCCATACTTCAAGTTAAATCTCACGTTTCCATACTTCAAGTTAAATCTCACGTTTCCATACTTCAAGTTAAATATCACGTTTTCATACTTCAAGTTAAATCTCACGTTTCCATACTTCAAGTTAGATCTCACGTTTCCATACTTTAAGTTAAATCTCACATTTCCATACTTCAAGTTAAATATCACATTTCCATACTTCAAGTTAAATCTCACGTTTCCATACTTCAAGTTAAATCTCACGTTTCCATACTTCAAGTTAAATTTCACGTTTTCATACTTCAAGTTAAATCTCACGTTTCCATACTTCAAGTTAGATCTCACGTTTCCATACTTAAAGTTAAATCTCACATTTCCATTTCTTAAGTTAAATCTCACGTTTCGAGTGCTGTTGAATATGGTAAAAATCGATGGTTCTGTCATTCTATCATACCGCCACTACATGTGTGGAAAAAATGGAATATAAATGTACCATGTACCAGTATGTATATATTGATTATGATGATGTCCAATGCCTTTTGCTACACTCTGACTGGTTTGACTCGCCCTCACCTGGTCACTATTTCTACTAAAGCCTTTCCTTTTACTGATGAATGTAATAAGAGTTTCCTAAGATTTGGTAAATGTATTTGATCATGATTAAATAAAAAATCATTGTAATATTTTCACTTTTCTATATCTAAAAGTACTTTTTTTACGGATGTCCTCTGATTATCCTTGTTCCATCCTTTGTTTCCACGGCGTGGTATTTTGTCTATGTAGTTACGATTTACAAAAAATAAGACAACAAACGTCTCATACCAGGTTTTAGTTCACGTCCCCTTGAGATCACAAAAGCCCTCCAGTCAGCTTTCCCTTGTTCTCTAATCAAACGCGCTTCGTTTTCATCAGCCTCAGTCATGAATATGCCTTTTTTGATTCGACAAGCCCTAAAAATAATTGATAACATGCATTTACCATCTGCTATTAGAAAGTCAAATACCCTTGCAAAATTCAAGAGGGACATCAAAACTCACCTCTTCACGTCTGCATTTTAGGCTCTGCGCAAAGTCGTCATGTAAATGTGCACATTGCGATGATTATGTATAAAAGTGATTGTAAGCCTTTGTATTTGTTTCACAATTATAACTAATACTATTAGCCATATGTTGTAAAGCGCTTTATAGTAATTTTACAAATTATATAGGGCGCTATATAAATGTTGTATATTATTATTATTATTATTATTAAAGAACCAATTGTTTCATATAAACTGGTATTGCTTTAAATGATTGTTTTGGTAAAGTTTTAAAGTAGCGTTTTATATTCGACGAGCATTAGGAATTCTGCATACTCCAGTGATGACAATTATAACACATAATCCATTGTCTATGACTGCATCGAAGCAACGATACAACCATATGGCTTTTCTACAGAAAAATATCAGTATATATAATAATGATATGTCAGGAAAGTTTTCAACGTCACCCACAGTCTATCACTGCAGGAAACAACAATAAAATCACCAAACTGGCTTGCCACAAAATATACATCCTTTCTCGGTATTTATTATTAAGAAATACGACTTACTCCTAACTGTGAAAAACACTCTAAAAATCAAAAAAAAAATCATCTTTTGATATGATAAATTCCAAGAAACGAAACATTTCTTCTTAGAAAAGCATCTATTTTAATGATTTTATTGTTGTGCATAATAATATTCACAATTATGGCAAGTATTTCATGTTGGAGCCATGCAGCATTATGTTAATACCAGACAGCATAATAGAGCATTGATTGGAATCACATTATTACACCACACCGAGAAATATACAACAAATACGATTTCCCGAATGTCATTTAATTGGTTCACCTAAAAGTTAAGCATTTAATTTGAGACGAAAGCACAGTGTCTAATGGGATAATAAAAATTACTGAGCTAAAATGTGTTGCCGAAATAAATTATAACTGGTTTTCGTGACCGTCAATAAATAATCTGATGCATACTGTTTCGACAAATAATGTGTAGCTACAGAGGAAATCGCCAGGTCCAAAGAATGATTAGGAAGACACTGTTCGTACATTGTCCTGGGTACTATCACTGGATAGACATTACTGCGGAGATTTGGTTCGTCGCCTGAATTACAAGATATTAGGCTAGCATTAACTTCAACATCAACAAATGAAGTCGTCAATATCGTTTTGTAAATGTTCTCTAATGCTTACAGTGAGAAAAGTCAACGTAAAACTCGTTTTAAAAGATTACAGCAGTGTTGGTTGCACCTGTGGTAGATCGTATGTAAATATATCGCGTCATTTTTATCAACTACGATAAAAACTGGATCGGGTAATTCACTAGTTTTCGAAAAGCAGCAATAGTAAACATTTGTAATATTCTTTAGCAAAAGCACATTGTCCGTTATGCCAAAACAATTATGATGCTTTTGCTCAGTTTCTATCCTTTGACTAACACGATATTAGATTAGTATTCATTTATCAAAGTTGTAATATGGTTTGCATATCATAATGTCCATACATTATATTAGGTTATAAATATGAAAAAGGCACTTTAAAGTAGACGCGCTTCTTAAAATGATAAAATGATAATAGTAAATAATGCAAAAGAATATGAAAATAATGATGTTTTTTCAGACGACAGTTTAAGATAGTGCCAATATTGAAAAGAATCTTTTAGCCTAAATTTTGTCCATATTGTTAATATCAAGCATTGTTATTATGTACAAAACCTTGGATGACTTTGCTTAAAAGATTGAAGTCGTTCATCGGTTGATCGTTGTAGTACACGACAATGGTTTGCTCCTTCCCCTTGTCAGTCTGTACGATATCTGCATAAACAATTATTCACATAGATACTACTGTATAAAATGTATACTTATATGGTTTTATTCCTCTTCCAAAAATGAACTATAGACAAGAGAAAACACACAGCAGTATCACTCTTAGGTATTACGCGCAGAGACTTGTTAAGACTTGGACATATAAGCGCATGTAAATGTTCTCACAACATCAGGATTAATAAAATCTTTTACCTGTAACTGAGCGAGATCGGGTTATCTCAGTCGAGGGTTAAGATTCTGTAACAAAATCCCAAACGAGGCGTAAGCCGAGGTTGGGATGTTACAGAATCTTAGCCCGAGGCTGAGATAACCCGATCTCGCTCAGTTACAGGTATTTTTTTTTCTTTTCTCGCACCTTTTAGCTTGAAAGAAACTATTCAATTTTGCTAAAAACTACAAGTATCCCGCCTTGGGCCTCAAATGATAATGACCTCTTCACTACTAAAGCTACAATTGAATGCTTCCGCGTAAAAATGTAGTACGTTCTCACAAAGATTTCAACGTATTTCACAGTGTAGATTATATCTATACATATAACGACAAAACAGAACATTAATAATGCAAATTGTCAATTTCAAGCATTTTACGCGCGGATGAATACATCGCAGTGTAAACATTCCGCGAAATGTCACGTAAAGGTACAAGACAGATCGGACGAGATAGAAAACTCTAGCATGGGGTAAAACGTGGGATATCTCTGTTTGAGGTACGAGAGAAACTTCTCTGGATAGGGTTGTCTCGACAATCAGACAGCATCCTCTTTGAGTCCGTCTTCTCTTCAAATTAACTTGAAATTATAGTTTGCGTATGCAGCTAACAACCTTCATGTATGACCTATAGGGACCACGGAACCAAATCAAAAATAGATTGTGGGTTTTCCCCTTTTGGGCAGAAGATTTAATAGGAAGTTGAATGCCTCTGGGCCTGCTGGTTGGATATTTAGGTGGCAGAAGTTTCAAAAGTTTTATGTGTGGGTTGAGCAATATATATAGATGTAATATGCATAAAAAACCAAATTCAACTCTGCTTTTGTCTGGGTGAGTTTATTAAGTATGTAATTTGTTGTAAGTTTTGGTCGATTTTTGCTATAATTCATGCACGATTAGAAATTCAATTATCCCGACATGCAAATATTTTTATACTAGATCTAAGTGTATCATACATGTATTTACCTATCATTTCATTGATGAGAGAAAGAGAAGCTCGTCCATCTGCGGTTCCAAAATCTGCGAAGCTTATTGGTTGTGTTGCCTGGTATTTTGACCTTGAACTTATTATTCCTCCTAGATTAACACAATCAATCTTTCTTATAATCTAAAGACAAAAATTATACAACCTGAAATAATGCAATGCCGTATCTTTGAATGTCCCAAAGTAGTGGCGCTATGATTTTCGATATCCCGATCGAGGAGTTGGAGAGAATTTCGTAAAGTCTGTACTTATTTGTTCGCGTAGCAAATCGTTTTGAATAATGACGAGTGAATTAGAACATATATGATTTAAAAAAAAAATATTGTGTAGCTAGTTGACTATGTATTTAGAGCTCTCAGCTACAAAATATATGAAACCCTTAGAACTCTTGGAGGCGGTTTGCAATGTCACAAAATAAAAGTGTTGTTATTAATGATTTGGTTGGGCAGCAGGCGACGCTAACATTGAAAAGAAATGTTACTCTGTTTCATTTTTATGTTTGTTTTAAATTCAAATTTCTTTTATTTCAGTAATGATATGAATTTAAATGCATTGTGTACGTTTTAATTTCCGGTAAATTGGGATCAAACAAATGATCATCAGGCATTCCGCATCATATTTTCTTTAATGTTACCGACAAAGATATTCTTTTCACGGAACAATGGTGTAAAATGCAAGAAAACAATAATAAGTTTATATATCAATTTATCAGTGTTGCATTTCTACAGTAGTTTAGTTAATATTTAAGAAATTTCATTCAAGAATACTTGTTGTTCAGATCTTGGAAACAAATGAATTGGGCAACAGGCAAAGCCTATGAGTGTCTTCTCCTAACAGTAATAAACAGTTTACACACATCTTATTGTAGTAATGCTTGTGATAATTATTATTTTGAACATTGTTGATATAGACATTAGATTATACAAACATCAGCCAAATGGTGCTTATAATAATTGCTAGTGAAAATTAGATAATACTTATCGTATGTACTATTTAAACTGCCGCATCTTAACTTGTTTATTTCAAAAGCACTATTGTTATTTATCAAAAATAATATTGTTAAAAAATATGAATTCTATATTCAGGACATATCATGTGCGCTTTAAGAACAATATAATTTTTAGAAAATCGTACAAATACTGAGCTACACATTTCAATGTAAAACAGATTGGTTGTCATCGATATGATGTCATTGATATATGCACGAAGTAAACAACTTAGAAGACGACATCAATAAACAATCATAGTGACGTCACAAACGATACAATATATTGTGAAAATCATTGTGCATTCAAGATGGGTTTGGGGGTATTTATAAACATTTTATGTATATATTTCTATAGTATATCAATTGTACAATACTAATTTTTATTGTGCATATCAAATCGGTAGATCATTATTTCTTACTTAGACCTTCCACGATGACCGCACGACTGAGATTGCCGACATGGGCGTGTACTCTATACATATCGTCTACTTCGCCTCGAGGCCTGGTTATTATTTTCATTTTCGGGAAATAGCTGAAAAAACAAACAATAACGGATATCGTAAATAACAGCACCTGGAAAGCTGGTAACAAGCAAAAAAGCAACAAATAAAACGGGAGTTGGATGAATATGTTCGTTTTACTTACTCACGATGTCAGCTCTAAGCGATTAAAATATTATGAGAAATATGTCTTTGCAGTTTTTTTCTGTCGGCATCATTATGTAGAAGAGTGAAAGGCATTTGAAAATATGATTGCGAATGATTATGGATCACATTTTTAGAAACAAAGGAAAATAAAATATACCGATTATTAAATCGGGGATGAATTGATGGTTACATCGTTGACAAGATCTGTGGATTTTCCAACAGACGTTTGTCATATTCA